TACAAACAAATATGTCCATAGAGCTGTGTAGACATACATGAGATAGAAAATTTAAAATTTTATATACATAAACATGACGTTATATAAGCAATGACCCATAAAGGAACGACTATAAAGGCATTCTGATGACCCATAGAGGAATGGCCATACAGGCATTCCGATGACCCATAAAAGGACACATATAATATGATGCTAAGGATGCGAGAAATACATTTCAGAAACTTAGACAATCATTCATTCATATAAAACATAGCATTTCAGAAAATTAATCATTTCATATCATCAGAAAATAATTAAAGTTAAACATAACTTTACAGAGTTATTACTCACATATGACTTCAATAGCAGATCAGACGAATCAAACAAACCAAGTAGCTAAGGCACGTGACCTATACGAACACATAGCGGATACACATTGAAACACACGTTCTGCAATCACTTAACTTGTTTCTTTTCTATCTTAGTGTGTTTTTAACTCTTATCCTCATTATTATGTCTTAATTAAGGCTTAGGAATGCTTAAGATGCAATGAGGATGCCAAAATATGTGTTGCAACATTTAGTCAAATTTCTAAAAATAGGGTCTTCGCTCGAGCGCAACTTTAGTTGCTTAAGCGGACTGCAAAATTTTGAAAAAACTTCTAGAAGCTCTCATTTTACGCTCAAGCACAACTTTTGGTTGCTCGAGCCAAGGTTCAAAAATAGGCACGGTCGCTCGAGCTTAGTTTTCCTCACTCGAGCGGAGGCTCATGCCTGCAAAAATACTGGGAGCATGAATTTTACGCTCGAGCCAACTTTTGGTTGCTCGAGTGAAAGTGCAAAACAAAGAGTGGCCACTCGAGCGCAAGTTTTGTCGCTCGAGCGATAATGTAGAATTCTGGAATTTCCAGATTGATGTTCAAGATGCAAAACTCGATTTCAAAGCTTTAAAACACATTATTTGGGCTCAAAACTTGAGAGAAAACATGCCTAAACTTGTAAAACATCAAGAATTAAGGATTATTTCGCAAAATCAAGGCCCAAAAGTAAATCAATTGTCCAAAATTCAACTTGAAACTTTGAAAGCATAACATGCATGTAATGAATTGAATTCAAAGCCTCCAAATCATGATCAAATAAGGTAAAATGATGAAAAACATGATGAATTCACAAAATTAAGGTACAATTGCTACATGCATGTGAGAATTATTGAAAATTTAGCTCAAAATGTAAGAAAATATGCATGCATGCATGGTATGACTTAAATTCTTTCATTCTAGCTCAATTCTCATGTTTAAACACTTTAATCTCTAGAATTCTTACGCTAATGTCTTGAATACAAACTTTGGCAATACAATTCTTACCTAGAGTTCCCAATTCTTTGAATTCTAGGAATTTCTTGCACAACTCTTCCAATTTCTTTCAATTGACTAGCAATTCCTTTCTTTTTTTCTTCCTAAAGCTTCAATTTCTTCCTCTCCCTCTCTTCTCACGTTTTGATAACAAAAAGATGATGAAGTGTGTATATAATGGTGGTATGAGACAACATTGAGATTATCTAGGTACCATAAGTGGAATTAATTAATTCTTGTTTAGATTAAATACTTATATTTATTTTATTCTAATTATTTGGTTCCGAATCAAAGTTCAATTGAACCTACTATAATATTCTAAAAATTCCAAATAATACATAAACCAATTCAATTTCGTGATCAGATGCAGATAAGGCATTCAATTCGCATAATGAAATAGAACTACAAACAAATCTTTTTACAATAGACAGGTATAAATGTAAATAACATGTAGCACATGCAATTAACGTAGAATTTTATCTTAATTACTTATTAGGTATTCTTAATCAAAGATTATACGCTAAACACAAGTCGGAGTTGTTACACAAACAAATAAAACAAATCAAACAAATCAAAGCTTTCTTATCTCCTCAGGTCTTCAATCGAATCCGTCATCATTTCCACGGCCTCCACTGAGATCTGCGAGTAGTCAATCAGCGAAGTTTTAGTCAAATGCCATATGAGAGAGAGAGAGAGAGAAAGAGAGAGAGAGAGAGAGAGAGAGAGAGAGAGAGAGGCCAATAATGTCGTCAAGTCGAGGGTTTTTCAAGGGTTGTAAGGCTCTAATGGCGACATCAAAGGCTAACACTCACAAATCTCTCTATCTATTGATTTCAAAGAACACACCTCTGTGTTTAACAACACCACCACTACCACCACCACCACCACCAACACACACACACACACACACACACACAAAAAAAAGAATCAAAACTCATATTTGTGTTCTATCAATCAAACAAAATACCTATATGCAAGTATACGAGCAAGTAAAGAAAGAAATGCAAATAAAATAACTAAAATCATCGAAGAATTATATGAATTCAACAAATCAAATACAAAAAGCTCAACAGTGATCTTAGAAACCTAATCCACAAAAAAAGAGCACAAATTTTAGGAGATTAAAGAACTATAAATGAATTAAAGACCTCGATGATAGACTAGGCAGCAGTTGTGCGATTGTTAAGATCCATCCACTGCAAGGCGTAGTAGCGGATCCAATCGGGCTTCAATAATAAGGCCTCATTTGTTAACTATATATTTTAGGCAAAAATCCAAAAAGTTACTATAAGTTGTTGCATCACTCTTTCTACTTTTCTGCACATCTTTTCGTAAAAAGCCAAAAAAATACTAAAATAGCATGTTCCCAAATGAGACCTAAGCAACCCTCACTGTCCACTAATCTTTGAAGCTTCTCTAAATCCCCATATGCCGCCACCGTTGTATACTCGTCGTTCCTTAGACTCTCGTCTTCTCTGATTTTCGTCTCTCCACCGCTGGAAATCGTCGCCAATTCCTAATCAATTTTTAACCCCTTTCATTTTTTCTTTTCACTCTAAGATCTCTCTGTCTCTCACTCTTCTCTCCTCAGATCGGTCCAAATTGAAGCACTTATCGGGCTCTCACAATTGCCAATCGAAGGATCTTTTAGGAAAGATGGCTTTGAAGTGGAGACAAAGGTTTTTAAGCTAATGAACTTAGTCGGTGAGGGCGGTGTCGCAGCGACTAACTCTAATCTGGAGATACTGACAAGGAGGAAGCATTGGGGAGTAGTGCCGAGGCAAAGACCGACGAGATATTAACTGGAGCTGAAGGAGGCGCCATAGATGATAGAAAGTGAGGGATTTGGCGACAGTAGAGGGTAGAGAAGAAGAAGAAGAGGCGATGAGAGTCGAAGGATTAGTGAGGAGAAAAGAAGAGAGAGGCATAGGGCGGCAATGGTGGCGGTGGCGGCGATGGCAGTAGTAGTCGTAGTAGTCACTGAGGTGACGGCGTTGGCATCAGCATGTGAAACAGAGGAGCAAGAGAGAGAGAGAAGTAAGTGAGTGTGAGTGTGAGTGTGTGTTGTTTGGGGTTTGGACCGTATATATGGTATATATGAGGAAGGATATTTTGGTCATTTTACCTAAACTTATCCTTATATAGACAAAGAAAATCAACGAGATTGGCTATAGGGGCATCGATCGCATGTGTAGGGGGTGAGATTGCATAGATGAGAGCTTGGACTTCTAGACAAAGAGAATTTAATTTTGAACTTTTGGCATGGACACCTTAAAAAAAACTGAAAAAAGAGTTGACACTTATTTGAACTACAAATAATTTAGGATTAGTTTGGCCAATATTTTTTTCATGCTTTTTTTATTGATTATTTTTGTATTGGGAATAGGCTAATTTAGTAATTTTTTTGTTATTTGGCTAAAATATGAGCTAAAAAAAATTAGTATGCTTGGAATGACTTTTTAACTTTTTACGAAAAGATGTGCAAAAAGTAGAGAGAAAAGAAAATCTTTGACTTTTTGGTATGGATTGTTAGTTTTTTAGTTTTTTTGTGACTTTTTGACTTTTTGGCTAAAAAAGTCACTTGCCAAACGAGTTCTAAATTTTTTTGGGGAAAAAAAAATTCACTTTTATGTTTGGTTAGACTATAAAATCCTAACAATTTTGAAATAAAATCCAAAAAAAAAATCACTAAAGATAAAAAAATAAAAATAAAAAGTCAGCTTTTTTCCCACCTTTTTTTTTTTGTTTTTCTGAAACTTTTTTTGTGAATTTTTTTTTAAAAAAATTATTTTTAGAAAAAAAAAATTACACAATTTATTTTTATTTTTTTAAATTCACTAAAGACAAAAAAAAGTTTGCGTTTACCAAACAAAGCTTTTTTTTTTTTTTTGTTCCTTTACAAATTTAAAAGGGTTTATTAGGTTAGAGGCAAAATTTTGGATCATATTTACAAGAAAAGCAGTAAAGGTTTTATAATTGTTTGGAAATGCAATTTGTTGACTTTATTTATTTAAAACAAAAATTTAGGAATGTCAAAAGTCAATTTTGCCCCTCTTTTTCTCCATACATTCTCTCTCTTTGTGAAATTCATAGCATTAGTTTTTCTATTTTCCTTCTTTTGTGTAAATTAGAAATGTGCTTGTTGTTAGGAGTTAATAATTCAGTTGAGAAGTAGAGAAAATCATTAAAACCCAAATGTGTTTTCATGAACTTTAGGAGACAATTTGGTGATACAGGGATCCTGTTGTGCTCTCTTGTGGAGTGTCGTCCCGAGCTTCTTTTGATAATTTGAATCGATCAGATTGTAGAGTTCGTTGAGTAGATCATCCATGCAAAAAATCAAGTTAATTGGATATCTGCAGCCTTATAACCAAAGCACATTTGTTTTTATAAAAGTCAACGGTTAACATAACTTTCATAAATTTTTAATAACAATTAAGACCTAATCATGGAGTTATAAATATCCGATTAACTTGATTTTTTACATGAATAATATTCTTGATGAACCCTACAATATAAACGATTCAGATTATCAAAAAACTATTTTGGACGAACTCCCACAAAGAAGCACAGCAGGCTATCGTACCTTGAAAGCACAGTAACACCCCAAGTCCACAATTTTGGTTTTCTTGATATAATACTTACCATTAAAATTTCATTGAAACTTTTGTGCAGTAAGTGTTTGTTTATTGTGTTCATCGATGACCAATCAACAATAATGACGTAGCTAAAATTCGAAAATTATACAGAAATTGCATTATTAATATAACAACAAATGTAAAAATGAAAATTAAAAGCAACACCCATCTATTTATCCATCCATATGATGCATCGGACGCTTTTCCCTTGTAGAAGTAAGTCAAAAGCTTTGTTAATTTCCTGGAAGCTGACTTCAGACTTCATGTGATATGAAGCCATCCAAATTAAGCTCCTATAAAAATAACACAAAGCAACAAGCAATTGTTATTGAAAATATTACATGATCGATCACAAAATAATTGCTTTTTAGTGGGACTAACACAAAATAATTGCAAAATTATCGAGGTGCATATAGTTTTCACTTGCACCAAAATCACATACTTACTTGCAAAGTTCTTGTAATTATTTTGAATTCTCCCCCACTAAAATACTAAACTCCCAAATTTTTATTGATCAACTACAAATGAACCAAATTGATCATGAACAACATAAATTCCATTCTTTACAGCTTATTTAGTTGCGTATTCAATCTGAACTCGTTCAATTGTGCATTCAAACCGAACTTGAGATTGAATAGTAAGTTAAAATCCAATTTATTTCTTTTTGCCCATTGCCCACTAGATTCCGCTTTAGACGGAGGTTGGTAGGCTGAGGTTTTTTTATTTTTTATTTTTTATTTTTGGTGTGTTAATTGATGACTTTTGATTCTCATAATAATAAATAAAAAGTAACATATCGCAAAAAAAAATTTCCGATAGCAAGTTCATCACTTAATTCAATAAAAAAGGGGAGATACTACTTCAATTTCTCGGTGCCATCCAACCAAATCCAATGCGATTTTTTACTTAATTTGCATTTTCAAAATTCATCCAACTCATTTTTGGACGAATCGTAATTGAACAGTTAAAGGTAAAAAATAATGATCATAATCATGATAATAAAAAATAAAAAAAAACTTACTTGGTCTAAATATTTTTTGACAAGGAAAGGAATGTCAGATTTAGCTTTCATTCCTCCAAAAACGGACCCTCCAACAGTTCTCCCTCTCATAATCTCCAAAGTGCTAATGCTTAACGGTGTGCCGTGCATCTCCACCCCCAGTATCACTGTTCTTCCCCATCCCTAATCTCATATAATAAAACCAACTTAATGAATCTCATTAAATAAATAAATGAGAACAATTAATGGAGTTTAAAATGAATCATCATCATGATTAACGAGTGTTTAATCAAATTTTCATTTCAATATGGTCAAATAGATTAACTTTGCAGTATATTCGAAAGTATCTACATCAATCTATATCACTATCATCTCCAAATATCATGTTAGTAAAATCATCTTTTTATAAATGTAAATGTTCTTATCTGAACCATATGACAGATGCATAGATTTTGTTTTTATTTTTTTTCGTCATTTTCTATATTTTCCAGTTGATTATACCTTGTCAAAAGGTTATAAAATGACCATATTTAATTATTTATTTTCTATCTATAAATCTCTGCACAAATTTAATATTTATTCATCATGTTATATTTTATTTGTCATGTGATATATCCACAACTACATTATATATTTATGGCCACTTATGTTTTCAAGGAACTCTATATATATGTATTGATGCTTTGGCCACCCTAAACTCTGATAATTTTTTTTAATCAATTGATAAAGTTGTATGACCCACCAAAAACTGAAAAAGAATGAAGTGGTATAACCATAAAAAAAAAATATATATATATATATATATATATTACAATGTTTTAATTATATATAACGTTTTGAAGATTTCTAATTAACTCAATTGATTTGTAAATAACGATTTCTTGGTTTTTTAAATGTTATGCGTTTTCATTGGTCCAAATGTGGTAGAATACGATGGTTTCTGTGAAATTGAAGACCTCTAGGTCATTGGTTATATTTAAAGTTAGGGAGAAATTGTTTAACTAATTGATGAAATGAAGCATGGATTATTCGATAAATTTGTGTTGAAAATCAAGGTGAAATTGAATTGAAATTATTTGTCTTGTTTGGCCCTCTCATGATAAAAGATTTTGTCATTATTGACAAGTGTTCTCTATATCAAAAATTCATGTCCCTCTTTACTAATTGGCATCTCAAAATACAAATATCACAAAACATATTCGTTCGAATTAGAGATCCTTGGGTACAAAAGAATCATAAATTTGAAGTACATAAGATCTTTATATCTATGACATGTTGTGAAGCTATGAAGGAAAGAGAGAAATACCGGTCGAGAGCTAAATATAGCCTCTTGCATCAAGGATACCAATCCAATGCACTCGAAGCAATAGTCAGCTCCCCCATCTGTCATTTCTTTTATCACCTGAGTTCATAATTTTAAAGTTTACAAAAAAATTTAACATTTTCTATAAGATTGATTAAGATCCTCTCCATTAGAAAGAATAGTAATAGACTAACCTCGCTAACCGATTTTTCTGAGCAATTTGTAGGATTAATAAAGTTTGTAATCCCAAATTTTTTTCCTGCACATATATAATTATGCCATGAGTAGGACAATCTTTAGACTGCCTCTGAATTTTGAATTTGTAATGAAAAAAAAAAACTTTTATTTATTTATTTATAAATTTCTCCATAAATTTAAATATTCCAAAATTTACCACATGAATGACTTGTTTCCTTCAATAGTTTTGAGTCCAATTACTTAAGAGATCAAGAAGATGCAGAGATAGCAAATGATATTGAAATATTGATGAAGACTCACCAACTTCAAATTTTTCAGGATTCAAATCGACTCCTATGATTTTTGAAGCTCCACGTAGCCTGGCTCCTTCCGCAACCTATATTATATTAAAATTCAAATTTCCAATTAATACCTTCTGTCTTTTCTTTTTTTTTTCTTAGGTACACTCTCATAAACTTTTTTACAGCACAAGTTATAGGTAATTGCATTAGGTGTTATTTTTTTTTAAATATTTTAATTATTTTTTTTATTTTTTAATTACACCTATATACAATTAAAAAATAAAATTATATTAATTAAAATTTTAAAAAAAAACTCAAAATAATTTTAAAAATATTAAACCAAACAAATAAACTAGTGATGGCGGAGAGGAATCAGGATCCCCTCCTTGAGTTTTCTACATGACTTTCTACTTGTTAGGTTATTGGGTCCACTTTTAGCCTCAATTTCAATAATTTGAACCGTTTACATTTTAAAATTTATTGAGTATATCATACTTATAAAAAATTAAATTGATCGGATATCAGAAAACATTTGTTCGGAAAAATATTTATTAAATTTAAAAAAAAAAATGATTTTTAGTTTGATGATCTGAACACATATTTTCTGATATCCGATCAACTTAATTTTTCACAAGTATGATATACTCAACAAATCTTAAAATGTGAACGGTTCGGATCATTGAAATTAAACCTAAAAATGGGACCACTAACTTAACAAATAAGAAGTCAAGTAAAAAACTCAAATAGGGAATCCAGACTCGAGGGGAGACCGACACCAAAGTCCAAAAGAAACAAAAGGGAGGTGGACACAAATTCCGTCAAACTGTAACCATCATCTCTGGAAAAATTACCTTGTGGTGGGCAAAATTCAGTTGGTTTTTCTAACTTCATATTTATTAATTAAAAATAATGCGACTTCATATTTTTTTATTAACTTTTTAAGTGATTACTCAAATAATAAATAATATAAAACAATATTCTAAGAACACAAACCACTCACTTACGATGAGGCACATGCGGTGTGGGACTTACCTAATATGAGGAGTAATAATCTTTGGGTTGACTTTTCTTTTTAAGTTGTGATTTAATTGGAAAAGTATTCGGGGGGCTCGTCGGATTGATTAAGCTTCTGGTGATTAGTCAAACAGATTATTATATATATAAAAAAATTCAATTCACAAACCGATAATTATATGATTAGATTATATTTTTAAAATCATAAATGTAGTCTATTTTTTTATATGAATGATCGGCACAACGAGTCTTGCAAGATTTGAGTCACTGCGACTATATTTGGTGGTTGAAAATTTTAATAAGGAAAAAAAAATAAAAAGAAAATAAAAAAGAATTGATAAAATTTGAATTTTAAGATCTGTTTGGTTGTGTTGAAAAATAAAGATATAAATGTAAACTTAAAAGACAAAAAGTGAAATTGAATGTTCTTCTCACTTTTTTTTTTCTCTATATTTTCTATTATAATCAAACAAAAAATAAAATTATATTTTCTTTTTCTTTTTCTTTTCCATTTTGTTCATCAAATTTTGGAACTAAACATAGCTTCAAGTGAACGCACTCAATTCTAGTGGAGATGAGGGATTTTGTCTGATTATGAAGGGCACATTGATTCAAATTAAAATGGTTTTAAGTTTAAACTTCATGTAATGAAAAATGACATTTGCTCTAATTACCGCAAGTCCAACAGCTCCAAGCCCAAAGATTGCTACCGTGGACCCTTCTTCTACAGCTGCAACCTTGAATGTTGCACCAACTCCTGATACAGTCAACAATCAATCATTTTTCTCAATAAGCCTTTCTTATATTTTTTATTTATAATTTGTTAGGAGTAAGAAAGAATATTCGAAGCAAAACAGATACTTAAAAATAGTGATAGGATAGGGACTACGACTACGATGGCAACAGACAAAGTTGCTTTAATTGTGTTATTGTTTTCAGAAGTGACTTGTCTTTTTGTTTTTCCACTACTTTGATAGGATGATTCATTTGTGTTGTGTTTCATGGTTTACGTACAAGAATAAATCATGATTTACTTGGAAGATGAAAGATTGACAACTTTAATTTTAAAGATTTAAAAAAAATTTAGTAATGTGATAATGATTGAAATTTATATGTGATATGATGTGATATATATATATATATATATTTTTTTATTTTTATTTTTATTTTTTTTCTTACCACATCATTAAAATTCTTTTTAAAATTTTAAAATTGAAGTTCCCTATCATTTTAATGTTACTTGAGTTGAAGGTCATGATGTCTTTCTCTTGTGAGGTGTCTGATAATCCCTTTGAACTCCAAACCGCAACCACCAAGTTGACTTACATAATTTTATTTTATTTTTATTTTTTTTTATTTTTAAGTAATGATACCTAAATTCTTATACAATTTTTTTATGATTCCTTCATTTTAAATCAAAACATCCACGATGTAATTGTAATTTCACAAATGTAATCACTACATCATTCTTGTAAGATTAATTAAGGTATTGTTGATAACATTGTCAGTTTTAATTTTCTATTTACTGAAACAAGAAACAAAATTATTATTATTATTTTTTTGAGTAAAAAACAAAAATAAAAAACTTTTTGTATGAACAAAAATTTTTAAAAATAAAAAAATATGTTTGGTAAGTTGAGCTAGTAGATGGTGGACAAATGTGGTGGTCGACAGTAGGCGTGTCAGATATGACCAGCAAAGTTGCTGGTCGACGCTGACCATCCAATCAGAGGAGAGTCGCAAGAAGGTGATCAAAGCTCTTCGGAGCTTGCCGGAGGGCCATTGGTGGGCGAGCAGAGACCGGTAGTAGACCACGGTGGGTGGTACTGGCAAGTGGCTAGTGGCAGCCAGATGTTGTGAGGGAAGATGGAAAAAGTAAAAACTTGTTTCGAAAACACTTTTTCTTTTTCTTTTTTAATTTCTAAAAATTTTGAAATCAATTTCACTTTTTAAAAAAAAAAAAACATTCCGAAAACAAAACACAGAAACGTTACCGAAACAAACGATGCGCAACCAACTCACCAGTGCTTACGCCGCAACTAAGCAAACAGGCCTTGTCGACAGGAATGAGACTATTGATCTTGACGATGTTGGCGATATCAACAACAGTGTACTCAGTGAAGCTCGAAACAAACAAGAAGTGATGCAAAACATCGCCATTCGAGTCCCTGAATCTGCTGGTTCCATCTCTGGGCACCCCATTCAAATGAGTGATGGGAAAAGAGGAACAAGAATTGCTCTTGGAAGACTTGCAATCCCTACATTCTCCACAATCAGCGTTAAACACTGGCAACACTCTGTCTCCTTCTTGCACTTCCTCCACATTCTCTCCCACACTCTCAACAACACTGCATAACAACAACAACAACAAAAGTGAATATTTTAGTTTAAATAACCAAAAATCAAAAAATGACTGAGTGGCCTGTAATTGAGTGATAGATAGATCAATGCCCGAAGAATTCTCGACTGAAGAAATGAGTCACAAAGTCTACGACAAAATTAGGAGAGATCTTTGATTTACAGAAGCAAAAAATAAAATTATACCACTTGAAGGCAATGAACCAATTGCAAACGATTTCTTGCTTCCATCCAAAAAAGAAAATTGAGAATAGTAAAGTGAATATTTAGCGAGTATTTAGTGATCATTGAAGGGTGTCTGTGAAATTAACTCTTTTATAAGCAATCAAAATTACCACAAAAAAAAAAAAAAAAAAAAAAAAAATTTTTTGGTTTAAAAAAAAAAAAAAAAAACTTGCTTGGTTTTGTTTTCATTTTTGTTTTCTTGCTTTCAAAAACAAAATAATAAAAAGTTCAAAACACCGATCTTTCTCATATGGTTTTCAGTTTTGCAAATTCAAAAATAATTTTTTAGTACTTTCTAGAAGTGGGTTGAAATTTACAAGTCAATATATACTTTTCAGAATGAAAATAGAAAACAGAACAAAAAACAAAAACAACAAATTAGTCAAATATTACCCAACTGCTTCATGCCCAAAAATCCTCGGAAAAACTGCAACTGGCCCCTGAATAATAATGACATGAAAGCAACAATTAGAACAAAATCATGAAAAATTGCTTTTCTATATGTATGTATTTGGGGGAAGAAGAGGAAGAAGAGAACTTACAACATTTAATTTCCAGAAGGTAACATCAGTGTGACAAAGGGAAGTGCAGAGTATTTTAATCCGAACCTCGAAAGCTTTAGGAGGATCTACTTCTATCTCTTCTATTACTAGTGCCTCTCCTGCCTTTCTACATACTGCAGCTGTCGTGTCGTGTTATGTTGTGTTGATTTGGATCACAGACAGAAAGTGAACAAATGATCAAAATTGTAATAATCAAATGATTTACAAGACCAAAGTAACTGTTAAAAACAAGAAGCCACTTTTCAGTAAGAGATTGAGACCTTTGCATCTTATGGGCTTTCCTGCTGTTTCTGATTGTTGTTTGCTCTCCATAATTGAGTTCTATGTCTCTCACTCTATCTCTCTTCTTCTCTCTAATCTCTACAGGTTGAATGTAAAGTTCCTCGTGTATATATATAAAGAATGATCTAAAAAGTCAAAAACATGTTACCCACGGGATGTAGTTCAAAAGCAGCATCCAGTTTAAAAGTTACAAGGATAATTACATCATCATTCTGAATGGTACTCCTTTCGTCCCTAAATAATGATTCCTTCAAGGAATGTAATTTTTTTTTAATAATACAATTATTATATTTTAAAAAATTAATTTTTTAAAATTATCCTTTGATAGTATATTTTTTAGAAAATATCAATGTCATAATTGTACTTTTTATGTTGTTAATGAATTTAAAAGAAGGAAAAAATATGAAATTTATATTATTTTTATATTTGATTTTTAAAAAGGGACTAAATTTTGAGACAATGACAAATAGAATAAGGGACTAATATTTTGAGACAGAATGAGTACTTTATTTCTCATCCATAAATCCGTATATATAGACTTTTTAATTTTAAAAATCTTAGAAATACACTCTTTGGGAGGTGATTTAGAAGGGATGAAAATGATACATTTTCATATAAGAAAAAGTCAAAATATATGAATTTATTAATAAATAAAATAAAATGATATTCGCTAATAACGACAAAGGTGTTGGTGTAATTAAGCCAAATAATTTTTTGTATGTAACATCATCATTAATTATTAAAAGAGTACATCATAAATTCACTATTCAAATGTAATTAGGGATGGCAATTTGAACCCGACCCGATGGGGACCCGACCCCTCAATCCCGATTAGAATGATTTTTTCTCAAAAAATATCCCTAACGGGTCAGGAATGGTATTCGAAAATGAATCCCCGATGTTTTTCGAGCCTGTCACGGTGATAGGTTGCCCCGCTCCAGCCCCGTCCTCGTTTCCGCTCCGAATTGAAATTACTATTATACTCCTTTATATATATGTGTGTGTGTGTTTCTCTAGGGAGTTTTTGACTATTGTTTGGATGTTGTTTTTTTTTTTTTTAATTTGTTGTGGCGTGGGTGTTGTTTTGTATCTTGTTTATCATGTTGTTGTTGTTTGAATGTTTATGTCTGGACATTGTTGGATTATGTTTTTATTTATATTATTTTTATTTGCCTAAGAAAAATAAAAAATTAAATAGGATATGCAAAATTCAAAACAAAAAAAAAAAGGTCGAGGATTTTTCAGGGTTGAGGAAACCTGATCCCCGTTAGGGGTAGGAACGGGTGGCTAATGGGTTCCCTACAGAGAATCGGGGGCAGAACGGAGAATTTTATCCCTTCGGGGACGGAGACGGGGAGTGTAATCCCCGGTCCCGCGCCGGCTCGTTGCCATTTCTAAATGTAATTATCCAATCTCTAATATAATTTGTGACAGCCGCACACACACATATACTAAAATTAATCATACTCAGGAGTCGTTTGACAACCCATCAAAAAAGTTAAAAAATCAAAAAGTTAATAGACACCAAAAGTCAAAGTTTTCTTCATCTCATATTTTTGTCAAAAAAAAAAAAAAAAAAAAGGGACTAAATTTTGAGACAATGACAAATAGAATAAGGGACTAATATTTTGAGACAGAATGAGTACTTTATTTCTCATCCATAAATCCGTATATATAGACTTTTTAATTTTAAAAATCTTAGAAATACACTCTTTGGGAGGTGATTTAGAAGGGATGAAAATGATACATTTTCATATAAGAAAAAGTCAAAATATATGAATTTATTAATAAATAAAATAAAATGATATTCGCTAATAACGACAAAGGTGTTGGTGTAATTAAGCCAAATAATTTTTTGTATGTAACATCATCATTAATTATTAAAAGAGTACATCATAAATTCACTATTCAAATGTAATTAGGGATGGCAATTTGAACCCGACCCGATGGGGACCCGACCCCTCAATCCCGATTAGAATGATTTTTTCTCAAAAAATATCCCTAACGGGTCAGGAATGGTATTCGAAAATGAATCCCCGATGTTTTTCGAGCCTGTCACGGTGATAGGTTGCCCCGCTCCAGCCCCGTCCTCGTTTCCGCTCCGAATTGAAATTACTATTATACTCCTTTATATATATGTGTGTGTGTGTTTCTCTAGGGAGTTTTTGACTATTGTTTGGATGTTGTTTTTTTTTTTTTTAATTTGTTGTGGTGTGGGTGTTGTTTTGTATCTTGTTTATCATGTTGTTGTTGTTGTTTGAATGTTTATGTCTGGACATTGTTGGATTATGTTTTTATTTATATTATTTTTATTTGCCTAAGAAAAATAAAAAATTAAATAGGATATGCAAAATTCAAAACAAAAAAAAAAGGTCGAGGATTTTTCAGGGTCGAGGAAACCCGATCCCCGTTAGGGGTAGGAACGGGTGGCTAATGGGTTCCCTGCAGAGAATCGGGGGCAGAACGGAGAATTTTATCCCTTCGGGGACGGAGACGGGGAGTGTAATCCCCGGTCCCGCGCCGGCTCGTTGCCATTTGTAAATGTAATTATCCAATCTCTAATATAATTTGTAACAGCCGCACACACACATATACTAAAATTAATCATACTCAGGAGTCGTTTGACAACCCATAAAAAAAGTTAAAAAATCAAAAAGTTAATAGATACCAAAAGTCAAAGTTTTCTTCATCTCATATTTTTGTCAAAAAAAAAAAAAAAAACCTCACTAAAAACCTATTCCCAAACCATCCCTTATGTGGTATCAAATCCTTATACTTTGTATCAAATTCCATTTTAATATCACTAAAAAAGTCACTAAATTACCCTTCACACCCTTGTACTCTGTATCAAATCCCACTTTGATATCTATGCATAAAATTGTGACATCCAACACCCTGTAATTCTAGTCAAATATCAATGACCATCTTTTGTTACTCCATTGTTTAAGTCTTTAAGGAAATCCAGTCATGTGACAAGCATGTGATTATGAAATGAGAGTAAGAGAGGAAAATTATTATTTTTCATCAATACACATTTTGTGTCACATAATAAGCATGTGAGAATTATATAATACAATATATATATATGTTCATATGATGAAAATAAGGACGAAGAAGCAACAAAATAAAGTTTTTAAAATAAAATTAAAAAAGAAAAGAAAAAAGCAGTAGAGAATCTGAAGAGAAAGAAAAAGAAATAGATGAAATATTGTGTTACTGTAGAAAACAAAGCTTTGTGATTTCAATTTCTGTAAAATCCTAATTCATCTTCTTAATTATTCATAATCTACGTTTTGTTTTAGTCGAAAATAGTCATAACTTAATGTGAATTTCGGGACAAAATGTGTGTAGGCAATAAACGAGGGTAATGTTTTCCCTTTCGCCTCATTTTGTAATCAAATGGTTGTTATATTACTGATTTTTGTTAGAAACTTATACAATGGAGTAACAAAATGGGAATATTGAAACTTGACTAAAAGTGTAGGGATTGATTGTTACAATTTTATATATAAGGATCAAAGTGAAATTTGATGTAAAGTACATGAATGCAAAATGTAATTTACCAGAAAGGGTGTTTATTTGGAGAGATTGAAATGGGGGATTAAACTCCATGTCCACCATATTGAGTAGTTCGTTGTTTAGTTAAAAAAATTGTAAATTGAACTAATAGTCCGAACGGACTATTAGTCTCCCATATAGGGGACTATCCTATCCTGGGCGGAAGAGGTGCGATGCATAGTCTCTAGACAAGCCTTTCTCTAGATTAATTAGTAAAAAGATAATTTTGCTCTCCAAATATTTACAACATATTTGATTTAATTTTCATAAACTAATTTTCAATTTTTTTTAAAAAATAATAAAATATTAGTTTTGTGAAAAAATTAATTTTAAAAATAATCATTTCCCAAATTCTAGTCATATGAACTAGGTCTCGTTTGGAAATATCACTTTTTAGTTTAAACATCAAAAAGTCATTAAAAAAGCCAAAAAATTAACAAATTATACAAAAAAAGAAAAAGATTTCATTTTCTCTTTATTTTTTACACATTTTTGATAAAAAATTAAAAAATCATCTCAAACATACTATTTTTTTACCTCATATTTTAACTAAAAAATCAAAAAATTATTAAAATAACATGTTCTCAAACGAGCCCTTAACAAACATGGAATAACACATAATTTCCAACCAAATAATTCAAAAATTATATATCTTAAAATTAACAATCTAATAGATTATAATCGTCTCTTATTCGGTCACGTCTAAACAAATATATCCCAAGTAAAGAGACCATGTGTTGGTGATGTAATCTTGTCATTATATTAACTTTTTTTATATCCCAAGTAAAGAGACCATGTGTTGGTGATGTAATCTTGTCATTATATTAACTTTTTTTATAGTGTAAATTCATTTTTAATATAATTTCATGAGATAAATTTTTTTTTATTTTTTTAATAAAGAACCCTATAATAGTTAATTGTAACCTCGCACGCCATTAGTATGAAATATTTTGTGGTATCTGACTTTTTGGTATGACGTATTTTGTGGTATCTGACTTTTTGGTATGACGTATCATTCATCAATGAATTGAGCAACAAATAATTATGGGTAAATTGCACTGACATTCCTTGAACTTTGATTCAATTATATGTTATATTTTGATATTTTGAAAATTATATTTTCATCTTATGATTAATAGTCTCGTTTTACAAACCTCCTTCTTATATAAAAGGCAATAATTTTTAGTAGAAAAACAAAAAAAAAATTACATTAAAAAAAAAAATAAAGCAATGAAAAAAGAAAAAAAAAAGAAAGGAAGTAAAACAAAGTAAGAAAAGAGAGAGTGCATGTGACGCCCCAAATTTTTTTTTTGAAACGTCATAAGATTTAAATAACGATAACTTGCTAGATAAAGTTTTAACTACTAATTAGGAACTTTTAAGTTCTTACATAGTCAAAGTCCAACAATACAACATCAATGAAATTATAAAGTCCTTAATAGCTATTATATAAAATAATATAATTTATTCGGCTCTACTCGAGGTCTCAGGTCAGCCAAGGCTCTACGTTAGCGTCGACTCCATTTCAGCTTCAATTATTTTCTCGCCAAGACCTGGCATAAAACGCCAGGGCAACAAAAA